TATATAACGGCATTGAAATATATAAAACAACCATTTTGAGCACGCAAATAAACCAGGGAGGTGGTTGGTTATAGATTAAGAAAAGAAAGGGAGAAAAGAACAATCCAACAATTACAGGACAAAAACGGTAAAATGCAACAGAGCTTAAAAAAGAAAAAGGAGATAGCAATTCAATTCTTTCAAGAACTTTACGAGAAAGACAACAGAAGAAATAAATCATCTGAGTGGGGAGGGAATGTTAGCATTGTCAGAGGAAGAAAAAGAAATACTAAATAGAGATATTACCATAGAAGAGCTAAAGGAAGCAATTAGGAAGCAAAAAAATAATAAAACCCCAGGGACAGATGGTCTACCAACTGAATTTTATAAAGGATTAGGAGAGACACTGAATTGGATTCTACTAGAAACATACAATTGCAAGAAAAAGTATGTGAACCCCTTGGGATTATGTGGAGTTTTGCATGAATTGGTCATAAAATGTGCTCTGAACTTCATCTAAATCACAACAATAGAAAAACACAGTCTGCTTAAAATAATACTACACAAACATTAGATGTTGCCATAGTTTAATTGAACATAACATGTAAACATTCACAGTGCAGGGAGGAAAAAGTATGTGAGTCCCTAGCCTAATGACTTCTCCAAGAGCTAATTGGAGCCAGGAGTGAGCCAGCCTTGACTCCAATCAGTGTGATGATATTGGATGTGTTGCTGACAGCTGTCCTGCCCTTTAAAAACACACACCTGTTTTGGGTTTACTGGTTTCAAGAAGCACTGTCTGATGTGAACCATGCCTCGCAGAAAAGAGCTCTCAGAAGACCTACGATCAAGAATTGTTGACTTGCATGAAGCTGGAAAGGGTTACAAAAGTATCTCCAAAAGCCTTGATGTTCATGTGTCCACGGTAAGACAGACTGTCTACAAATGGAGAAAGTTTAGCACTGTTGCTACTCTCCCTAAGCGTGGTCGTCCTGTAAAAATGACTGCAAGAGCACAGCGCAGAATGCTTCATGAGGTCTAGAATCCTAGAGTGTCAGCTAAAGACCTACAGAAATCTCTGGCACATGCTAACATTTTTGTTGACACATCTACAATAAGGAAAATATTAAACAAGAATGAAGTGCATGGGAGGACACCACGGAGGAAGCCATTGCTGTCCCAAAAAAATATTGCAGCATGTTTGAAGTTTGCAAAAGAGCACCTGGATGTTCCACAGCACTACTGGCAAAATATACTGTGGACAGATGAAACCAAAATTGAGTTGTTTGGGAAGAACACACAACACTATGTGTGGAGAAAAAAAGGCACATCAAAACCTCATCCCCACTGTAAAACATGGCGGAGGGAGCATCATGGTTTGGGGCTGCTTTGCTGCCTCAGAGCCTGGACGGATTGTTGTCATTGATGGGAAAATGAATTCCAGAGTTTATCAAGACATTTTGCAGGGAAACGTACGACCATCTGTCCGCCAACTGAAGCTCTGAAGAGGATGGGTGATGCAACAGGACAATGACCCAAAGCATACAAGTAATTCAACGAAAAAATGGCTTCAACAGCACAGAATACGCCTTCTGGAGTGGCCCAGTCAAAGTCCTGACCTCAACCCGATTGAAATGCTGTGGCATGACCTTAAGGGAGCGATTCACACCAGACATCCCAAGAATATTGCTACACTGAAACAGTTTTGTGAAGAGGAGTGGCCCAAAATTACTCCAGATCGTTGTGCAGGTCTGATCTGCAACTACAGGAAACGTTTGGTTGAGGTTATTGCTGCCAAAGGAGGGTCAACCAGTTATTAAGTCCAAAGGTTCACATACTTTTTCCTCCCTGCACTGTGAATGTTTACATGTTATGTTCAATTAAACCATGGCAACATCTAATGTTTGTGTAGTATTATTTTAAGCAGACTGTATTTTTCTATTGTTGTGACTTAGATGAAGTTCAGAGCACATTTTATGACCAATTCATGCAAAACTCCACGTAATCCCAAAGGGTTCACATACTTTTTCTTGCAACTGTATAATGAAGCAGAGGCAAAGCTACCAGACTCATGGAGGGAGGCATACATGTCGCTGATACCGAAGGAAGGAGCAGATACAACGCAAATAAAAAATTATAGACTCATCTCTCTATTAAACACTGATTATAAAATCTTCATGAATATAATGGCAAACAGAATGAAAAAATTATTGATTTATAGAATACACCCAGATCAAAACGGCTTCTTACCAACGCGACAGATAAAAAACAATATAAGAACAATAATCAACGTATTAGAATATTATGCGGTACATCCAGAGAGGGAGGTAGCACTGGTGTTTCTGGATGCACAAAAAGCTTTCGATCAGGTGAATTGGCAATTTATGACTCAGCAAATTAAAAACATGAAATTTGGGGAGAGATTTGAAAAAATGATAGCCTCTATATATAGAAAACAAAAAGCAAGTATATTAGTAAATGGAGAGACTACTAAATTTTTTGAAATAAGTAAAGGAGTATGGCAGGGATGTCCACTCTCACCTTTATTGTTTATTTTAACATTGGAAAATTTACTCATAAGAATCAGGTCAAATAAAGGAATAAAAATGTAAAACAAGAAGAATACAAGGTCCAAGCATTTGCCGACAACCTTGTATTCTTCATAGAAGAACCGTTAAAAACAGGACCAATTTTAATAAAAGAGATAGAAGAATTTGGAAAAGTGGCGGGTTTAAAAATTAACAAAGATAAGACCAAAATGTTAACGAAAAATATAACAGCAAAACAAATAGAAGAATTAGTTAATCAATTAGGATTACAGGTGGTAAAAAAGGTGAAATATTTAGGTATAAATTTGACAGCCAGAAGTGCAACTATAAAGGAGAACAACTATGGAATATTGGTTCAAAAAATAAACGAAGATTTAGAAAAATGGGGGAAATTGAAATTATCTCTATTAGAGAGGATTGCAGCGATAAAAATGAACATATTGCCGAAACTCCTTTATTTATTTCAAACAATTCCGGTAAAATTAGATAAAAAATTCTTCAATAATTTGAATAGAATAACCACAAAATTTGTGTGGGAAGAGAAAAAACCAAGAATCAAATTAAGTATATTGCAGGACGATAGAACTAGAGGTGGATTCAGTTTACCAGCATGGGAAACATATTACAAAGCAACAAGTCTAATATGGATTAGAGAATGGGTGAATTTTGAAAACCAAAGACTATTAAAATTAGAAGGGCATGATTTGATGATGAGGTGGCATGCCTTCTTATGGAACACCGGGAACAAAACATATAAAAACTTCAGTAATTATATACTAAGAGATTCACTAATCTGTACATGGTGAGAAATTAAGAACAAACATTATATAAAAGTTCCTGAATGGTTATCCACAATGGAGACACAAATACACCCCAACACATTGGCACTACAAAAAATGATAAGATATAAGGAAATATTGGATTCCCAGGGAGTATTAAAAACACAAGAAGAACTTAGAGAACAAGGAATATTGATAGACTGGTGGCCTTATTTACTGATAAAAAAAGATATAAAAAGGATCAAGAGGAAGGAGGAATTGAACTAAAACCGAACCGATTAGATAAACTGTTAGAAGCCAAGGAAGAAAAATTAATATCAAAAATTTATAAATACTTATTAGAATTCGACCTAGCAGAGGAATTAGTAAAAGGACAAATGATAGCATGGGCAAGAAACATTGGACACAACATACAATTAGAAGACTGGGAAAATGCATGGGAAACCAATTATATCATGACAAAATCAGTAGTTTATAGAGAGAATCAGTATAAAATGTGGTATAGATAGTATCTGGCCCCTTCGAGGTTAGTGAAGATGTATCAGAACTTAAATCCAACTTGTTGGAAATGTAAACAAGCACAGGACATTCTTCCATGTCTGGTAGCTTTGCCCAAAAATTAAGAAATACTGGGGGGGGGGGAAACTTGGCTAACAGAAATAACAACAGAGGAAATAGAGCTGAAACCAGAAATTTTTCTATTAGGCATGATCAAAGGAAACCATAGCAAAGAAACAAAATATTTAATATTACACATAATTACGGCATCCAGACTGGCATTAGCACAACATTGGAAAACGGATCAATTGCCAACAGATCATCTAGTAATCCAAAAAATTTACAATTGTGCAGAAATGGCTAAATTAACATTTGAGTTAAAAGACAAGTTGGACTCAAAATATTATACTGTATGGAATAGATGGTACAATTGGACAAGTCAAAAGAAAGAATAAATGTAAAATTCCACAAGAAAACAAGAAAATAAAATTAACAACAAGCACCGTCAATAAGATAAATGATGTAATAAGTCACTTTCTATATATAGATATATATATCTAGTTTGTTTCGTTTTGTATTGTTTTTCTATTTTATGGGGTGAATATAAATGTATTTCGTATGTACTTGATTTGATATTTTATCTTTTTATGTTTAATAAAGTTTTTTTAAAAGAATTCTACAGTTTGTATACTGATACAAAAAATACATAACATCAGATCTACTTTGATAATATGTTCTCAAACCACTCTTCTACCTATATTAGCTGTTTTTTTTTTATAAAAGAGGAAAAGATGGAGGTATAGTAAAAGTAGTTTTACTAAATTGTTGGAACCTGCACCTGTGCAGGCAATAGCATGTTAACAAGCTTCTTTAGACGAACAAATGTTTTGTTTCAGTCAGTTATTGAATAATCTTTAGCCACTTATGGCTAGAGGTGACATGAACAATCTAATATCCATAATAAATATCCCCACCAAGTAATATATTTTTGTTAATTGTTATATATCTCTTCTAGCATTAATGTTATTGTTATATTTTAGAAAGTATGGGGGGGGGTGCTGCTTTGCAGTCAGAGATTACACTGCTGTGGAGAGTAGCATTTATGCATATTTGAATTGGGTATTAATCACTTCAAAAATGTTGATGTGTATCTGTGCCGTTTCCCTAAATAAGATGCACCCTTTATTTTTTCTAGAAATTATTAATTCAAGAAAAAGCTGCACAAGAAGTAAAACTTGCTATTAAGCCTTTCTATCAAAATAAAGATATTTCTAAAGAAGAGTATAAAGAAATAGTTAGAAAAGCAGTTGATAAGGTAAGTAATATCTCATCAGTGATTAGCAATCTGGTTTTATTAATACTTTCAGGCTTTTGGACATAGGAGGTAATAGCTTTAGCTCTATAATATAGCTGAAGCTGTTACAGGCATTTAGTATATCAGATATTGTTTCTCACATATAATCACCATTATACTGATCATGTTTTTCATTTTTGGGCTAAGGAATTAGAGCACAGCAAAGTATGTGGTGCAAAATGAGGTATGAAGGCAAAATTGTATCCTTGTGAATTATCCTTGTTTTTACCTCAATCATGTACTGTTTCCTACATAGTTTTTCATTCTTAAACTTTTTTCTCTTATTAACTCCATCTAATCACTATTTTCCTGTTCTTCCCTTTATCTCAGTGTCAGGATTCCAAGTAATAGATCCATTGCAAGCAAGAACTCCGAGGCAGGTGAATTCCTCAAAGAATTGGAAAGCTTTATTGGAAATATCATATTGGCACATATCTGATGAAAACCAAGGGGCCCCTTGGTTTTCGCCAAATTAAAGGAAAAGTTTTTCCCTCAATCCGAAACAGTCACATGGCCCAATCAAGGCAATATCTGTTGGTCTGGTGACATCACTCCTCTTTCTTTTGGCCAGGTGTGAGAATGTCCTTGGTTCCCAAGAGAAAGTTTTATTTTGACTATACAATCCCAGCTATCTCTAATCCCCCCTCCCTATCCCTCGCTCCAGTGTGGCAGCACTGAAGCTCCAAGATGGCTTTGGCCAGGTCAGCTTCAGGGTTGACATTCAACTTATGCTCTCTTCCTCTGTGTTCTTGTTTATTCTTTTAAAAATTGATCCTCCTTCATTCAGTCTCCGTATATGACCAAATTGGTTTAACATTGCTTTCCATTATTGTTCAAGTGTTCATTCACATTTATATTGTTCACATTATTTAGCAGCCATTCTTGGCTCTCTTACCACAGTCTTCTTGAACCCAGTCCCAAGCAAACTTTTCCAATTCCATTTTTTTTTCTGACATGCTTGTTTCTCATTTCCAGGTAACAAATGGCCAGAATTTTGTTCTTATGCACAGCCCTTTTCTCTGCTTTCAACATACATTTATTTCTGGTAACAAGTCACCTAGTACTTACTAACTTTCTGCCACATATGCACATCTTAACATTTGTCCCTCTATTTTCCCACCTGTAGTAAACATTCTACTAAAGTACACAACATAATATACTTGTTCTCATTTTTTACCATTTTGGGCAACTTGCAGTAGTTTTCTCCATCAACTGTCCCATTTGGCACATCCAAAAAAAAAGAAACTCCTGGCATCTAGGAACTAGATGTGCCTGAAAGATTCTTTCAGGCACAGCAGAAGCAAAGTCAGCTGTGAGATTTTCTCACAAACCCCATTTAGGTAAAAAACCCTTTTCACCCCTGGCTACCCACAGTTCATTGTCCACCAATTATATTCAGTACTTTTGTTTTGGGAAAACAGTCTGCATCGGATGATAGCTCTGAGAACTTGGCCTTGGTGGGTATCTCCCCTTTGGCAGCAGAAGGCTCTCATGCATTCCTTAGCCCTCCTCACATTATTTGTCTCTCTCCTCACTAGGGCCAACCTGGATGTTCAGCATGAAATCTGCACTAATCTAGCTACCTTCACATCTGTATCGGCTAAGGGATAACCCCTCCATAACACTAAATATTGCAGTTTCCCCCTATAGTACTGAGAGTCTAGAATCTTCTTGGTTTCATAGTGCTCCTCTCCTTTAACTAGGGTGGGAGGGGAAGGTTTTTTCTATAGCAGGTCTTAATTCCGAGCTATGGAAAGGTTTCAACAGACTGCAGTGAAAGCCTCTCTTGAGGCTTTTTGGCAGCTGCATCTCTACAGTAACCAGATTTATGATCTGAAAGGGTCCTATGGGTCCAGCTTCTTACAAGGCTGCCTCAGGTTAAGGAACTTGGTAGATATGTATACTTTATCCCCCACCTTGAACTCCCCCCCTTGGGGCTCTTTTCTTGTCCGCCTGCCTCTTCTGCATTTCCCTAGCTTTTTGCAATGCCCTGCGCACCACCAACCATATTTCCTTTAACGTTTTCATCCATTTGGCCAAGGATGCTGTGAAAGGCTGCCCTTTCTGTCATGGGCCCAAACTCTACTCCTCTAGCTACCCAGAAAGGGGTAAACCCTTTACTACTATGCATGGAGTTATTGTATGCAACTTCTGCAGAAGGTAGCAGTTCAGTCCAATTGGTCTGTTGATAGTTGACATAACACCTCAGGTACTGCTCCAAAACTGAGTTCATAAATTCACAGACTCCATTGGTACTAGGATGATAGTTGGAGGTAAGGCCCTGTGCTGAGTCAATTAGGCTGAGGAATTCCTGCCAAAAGTTTGACATGAACTGCACCCCTTGGTCTGCAATGATGTGTTTTGGGACTCCATGCAGCCGATAGATGTGCTGCACAAACATCTTCACCACAGACCAGGCGGGGGAAACACGCTACATATGTGCCTGCTTGGAAAATAAGTCTGTGATGGTTCAGATTAAAATATTCCCTGCACTTTCCAGCAAGTCCACAATAAAGTCTATAAAAATCTCTTCCCAGGGCTTCATCAGTTCGGCTACTGACTGCAGTAGACGAGGGGGCTTCCCAAGTAGCTGTTTCATTGAAGCACACACAGGGCAGCTGGCTACGTATGCCTCTATGTGTCTTTTCATCTTTGGCCACTAGAACTGCCTCTTTACTAAAGTGAAGAGTTTTTATAAACCCAAAATGTCCTGCCTTTGTGTCATGACTCCTCTGCAAAATCGAGGTCCGTTGGCTGGCTGGGACATATAATTTTATCCCTTTCCACACCAACCCTTCCTTCAGAGATAGGTTGTCTTTGTGCTGCTGAAACTACTCATCTCTTGCCAGGGTGTCTTTCAGGGATTGCACTATGTCCTGGGCTGGCTCTAGTTGGACCACTGCCTGTTGTCGGATGATGGCCGATGCTGCACACTGTTTAGATGGGATGATGCAAGTCATTACTGCTTCTCGGGCGCTATTGTACTGCGGCACTTTCTTGCAGAGAGGGCAACTGCAAGGAAGTTCTTCCCTCCAGACAGATATTGGAGGGTGAAATTGAACCAATTAAAATATTGAGCACATCGGACTTGCTTAGGGGACAGTTTCTGGGGGGAGGATCTTCAATGCTTCTTGTGGTCTGTCCAGACCTCAAATGGGACCTTGCTACCCTCTAGAGTCTAGGGAAGGCTCTGATGGATGCTCTGCGTCGGACGCAGAGATAAAGCCAGGGCTGCCTGACATTTCCCAGCCACTGGAGAGGCAGCTGCCTTTGGAGGCTGAGATGAGTGAGGAGAAAGAACAGCCTGTTCCAGATGCATGTATGTATAGAAAAGTTAGGAGAGGTGAACAACGGGGGACAAGGAGTCGACTGGGGAAGCAAAGCACACATGGACGCTGAATGGCCACTCCCTGGCTGGGGAATAAATAGAAAGAAAGGGGAGTGGTTGTCGTAGGAGACAACAGTTCGTATTTCTGGAGGTTTTGCTCATTGTGTTCCGTGCATCAAAGACTGCTTGCCAGAACTTAATTTGCAGCCTCTCAGCTGGGAGCTCACGGCCTTGCAATTATCACAATGAACTGGTAAAGTCTGTTGCTGCCGTTAACTCCTTGCAGGACTCTTGCCTGGACTTTTCGGTGGGTGAATGCAATTAATTCACAAGAGTTTTCGTGACAAAGAATCTGTTTCTTGCTTCTGTTAAGGCTAGGTCAGAACATGTGTAGGCACAAGGTTGCAATTCCCCGTTGGCATTCTTTTGGAGTAGGACTGCCCGTATTGCTACATCACTGGCATCAGCCTGTATTACAAATGGCTTCTCTGGGTCAGGATGCTTCAGGACTGGCTGTGCAGTGAAAAAGCATTTCAGTTTTTCAAAAGTGGCTTGGCAGTAAAGGGACCAATTGGGGGTTTGGCTGGTTTTTGGTTTCTCCCCCCCCCCCCGGTTTTCAGCAGATTGGTGATCAGCAGGGCTATCTGGGTGAATGTGGGAATGAATTATTTATTTATTTATTTATTTTATTCGGCTTATATGCCGCCAAATTGGTGGTAAAAATTTGCTAAGCCTAGGAAGCTCTATAACTGCCTCCTGATTTGTGAGGCTCCCATTCTAGTATGGCTTTCATTTTGCTGGGGTCCATTTCCATTCCCTCAGTAGAGATACAGTACCCCAGATAGTCCAAGCAAATTTTGTGAAACTCACACTTGGACAGCTTTGCGTACAGTTGGTCTCTTTGCAGTGTCTTGAGTATTGCCCTGACTAGCTTCATGTGCTGTTCAGGGGTTTCAGTGTATATCACCAATTACACCAAGACCCCTTTGTATGCATCAGGGGTGTCAAACTCAAGGCGTGGGGACCGGCCCTAGCCCCTGGGGTTCTGAGGTCCGGCCCGCAGGGCCGCCCTGGAAACAGGAAAGGACCAGCCTGCAGCACCTCTGCCAGCGAAAACAGATCTCATGAGGGCCGTATGCAGCCCTCCTGAGTTCTGTTTTCACTGGCAGAGGGTTACAGGAGGCCATCACAGCTGGCTACCCTGGCCATGCCCACCCTGGCCCCCTGAGGTCAAACACAACCCTGATGCAGCCCTCAATGAAATCAAATTTGACACCCCTGGTATAAATGCACATGCAGAATTCATTTATTATCTGCATGAATATGGCAGGAATCCCCTGCAGCCCAAAGGGCATTACTCAGAATTGGTAGCAGTCCAGGGAACAATTGAATGCAGTTTTCCACTTGTGCCCTTCCTTAATCTAATCTGTGCCTCTCTCAAGTCCAGTTTAGTGAAGATTTTCCCCTTTGCCAAATAACTCAGCATGTCCCTCCTCAGGGAGAGGTAGTACGGGAGAGGGGGTACATGTTCTTCACACAAAAACAGTTTAGCCCTCTATAATCCATGCACAGCCTAAGGGACCCAACTGCTTTTATTTATTTATTTATTTTATTTTATTTATATGCCGCCCTATCTCCGTAGGACTCAGGGCGGCTCACAACAATAAAATATCCAATAAAATGTGTTAAAATAACCCCCAGTCCAGGGTCTTTAAGTCACGGAGGAAGGTGCAGAGGTCAGGGGCCAACTGGAGCCCCAGAGGAAGTTGGTTCCAGAGGGTGGGAGCACCCACAGAGAAAGCTCTACCTCTAGGGTTCGCCAGTCGACACTGTCTAGCCGACGGCACCCTGAGTAGTATTTTCCTTGAATAGCACAATCTCTATAGTGCAGTCAGTGAGGTGAGAGCATGACGTGATTCCTTCTCGCTGAAAACCTCAGCTAGGTTGGAATCAGAGGCTCTAACCCATCAGTGTATGGGTTAGACCCTAAAAGGTGTAGACCCTTTTAGTGTATTTGCGGTTTCCACTTTCACTTTCCTAACCGCAGGAGCAAGGCCAGCTTGCTACACTCTACCTAGCTCTTGCTGCTTAGCAGTTTTTCTCCACATCCGCCACCTCTCTGTTCCAGCTCACAGTCTTCGGAGAGGGGCGACATACAAATTGAATTAATAAATTGAATTAATAAATATTTTTTTGGCACATCCCAAAAAAAAGAAACTTCTGGCATGTAGGAACTACCAAGAGTAAAACTTTATTAAAAAATTCATTTAGGCATAGCAGAAGCAAAGTCAGTTCTGAGATTTTCCCGCAAAAACCCATATAGGTAAAACCCCCTTTTCATCCCTGGGCTGCCCACAGTTTATTGTCCACTAATTACAGTAGTTTTGTTTGGGAAAACCTAGTCTGCCTGGTCTGCACCGGCTAGTAGTTCCAAGAACTTGGCTTTGGTGGGTATCTCCTCTCAAAGCAGTAGAAGGCTCTCATGCATTCCTTAGCCCTCCCCCTACCCTAGGAATTTACCAAACCCCCTCCCATTTCTGTTTTACAAACTGCAAGCTGGAAGTTGATGCAGGTAATGATGAAAGCGAGTCAGCTTTGACAATTTCTCTTGTCAACTTTGGTTTTTGATACATTAATTATAAGAGCCATCTCATTGTATCATACTAAAAATCTTTGGGTTTTTCAGCCAATAAAATATTTCTGTATAAAAAATATAGCACGCTTTCCTGTCCTTGATGAACATATTTCCAACATTCGTTGATTTAATTTGAATTGGAAGGCTGCCTGGCCAAATGAATCTAGACATTTTACATAGGTAAAAAATAGGGGGAAAAACAATTAAAAGAGAAACGGACATGTGGGTCCAGACAAAATCATCCATTACCTTATAGAAAACCCACCAGGGGCTCAACAAATGATTTAACCCCATGCCTGGGAGCAAAGCCTCATCTTCAAAGACTTGCAGAACCCTTGTAAGATGAGAGCCATGGGAATCGGGGAAGGGGAAAACTTGTCCTCAATGCTGAATAATTTATTTTCACACATGATTTACTTTCCTGATACTCAGCTCCTAACCCATTTAACCTCCAACTTTCAACTCCATTTTTGCTCAAAACCTTCCATAATTAAACACAATTCAGTTTATTAGGTCTTGACAAACTTGACAGATCTTGACAAACTTGAACAATGGGCCCTATCCAATAAAATGAATTTTAATGTAGAAAAAAGCAACGTTTTACATTTAGGCAGGAAAAATCAAAGGTATAAGTACAGATTAGGCGAGACCTGGCTCAAAAACAGTAACTGTGAAAGGGACTTTGGAGTTCTAGTGGATAATCATTTGAATATGAGCCAGCAATGTGCAGCCGCCGCCAAAAAAGCTAATACAATCCTGGGTTATAGAATCAAGATCACATGAAGTATTAGTGCCGCTTTATAAAACCCTAGTAAGACCACATCTGGAATACTGCAACCAATTTTGGTCATATTACAAAAAAGATGTTGAGACTGGAAAAAGTTCAGAGAAGAGCAGCTAAGATGATCAAAGCCTGGAGACTAAAACATACGAAGAATGGTTGCAGATTTTGGGTCTGGTGAGTCTGAAGAAAAGAAGAATTAGCGGTGACATGATAGCAGTATTCCAGTATTTGAGGGGCTGCCAAAAAGAAGAGGGGGTCAAATTATTCTCCAAAGCACCAGAGGGCAGGACAAGAAATAATGGTTGGAAACTGGTCAAAGAGAGAAGCAACCTGGAATTGAGAAATTTCCTAACAGTAAGGACAATTAATCAGTGGAACAGCTTGCCTTCAGACATCATGGGTGCTCCATCACTGGAGGTTTTTAAGAAGAAACTAGACAGTCACTTATCTGAGATTGTATAGTTCCTCCTGCTTGAGCAGGTGGCTGGACTAGAAGACCTCCAAGATCCCTTCCAGCTCTATTCTATTTTATTATAAAATTTAGCTAAATCAATGATAGGCATCCATTCATGCCTATCTCAATGATTTATATATAAAGAGCAAGTCTGATCTGTATATCCTGTGCATTACCAAAATTTGCTCATTGTCACTTTTCATACCATTTCAATCAGAATTCTGCCAAACTGTCAGGGCTGCCTCCAATCAATCCCTAGGAAAGAAGACCTTTGACTCCATAGATTCAAAAAAAGGATACTTTTACTAGGAAAGAATTGATTGCAGCAAGAGTCAGTCAAGGTCTGAAGCAAAACACATGCAAAGAGACAAATTGAAACTAACCCCAGAGCCCAACCCCAATAGTTAGACAACCAGAGTTCAGTCATCAGCCAGGAAGATATTTTTTGAAAGTCTCTGGTCCAGGTGCATCGCTCCTCCTTTATGCATGCCATTCCCAGGACGGTTGGCCTTGGAGATGTTAAACAAATCAAGCTGGCTTCTCTGAGTGAAGGCTTCCCCATTGCTTCTCAGAAATCTGAGTTTTACCTCCTGCACACTTCCTCTCTCAAATACTCATTGCTTCCCTCCCCATACCATTTCCATGGCAGCTTGCAGCAAGCTTGAAGGAAAGTGAAGATGGCCAGGCTGCGCTTTTCAAGGCAATTGGAACAAACTAATTCCTCTGCAGTTTTTTCAGTCACTTACTGTCTTTCACTTAGTATAAGGGAAGCATTCTTCCAAAGGTCACACATAGATATAGCCTTTGTACAGATGCAATATTAAGCAAATTGCACAGGTACTCCATAAATGACTGCACTATCTAGTGTACATCTATGTCCTTGCCATTTATCAACATACTATTTTCATTTTCATTAATATTTGTAAATACTAACGTTTATAGTATTCTTTTAATTTCACTTTAATATATAATTTCTCATTTCTATGCAAATTTTTTAAAATATTTCCAGCATTCCCTAACTACTGTTTCATTCAATTTTTTAAAATTGTATTCGCTATTGGAAGCACTTTCCTTAGTTCTCCTTGGCCACTTCCAAAACAGTTTTTTAAAATTGTATTGTCTAAATGGTTTTGAATTCTGTCTCATTTAATCTTAAACCTGTTTTCCTTGACTCCTTCTTTGTAACTGTTTTATCTTTATGTTGTATTTTTCTCCCATTCTTAGTTTTGCAGCATTCTCTTATACACAGTTTTCCCAGCTCTTTCAGTTCCTTCAAAGAAGCATCTGTTTTCTCCATAAATCACTCTTGGCGTTACCAAAGATTGTCCATCCCACATTAAGAACTCTTGCCATACTTATATCTCACACTGTGGCTGTCATAAGTAATCAGATCAGTTGTGCTTTTGATTCATTTATTTTCTATGTATGCATGTTTTTGTGTGTATTCGTGTATGTGTGTGTGTGTACATGCAATACATACATACTTTATGTATTTGAAATAAACTTTTTCCTAAGCAGATGTTCATCAAAATCAGCATTCTCATTCATTCTTGGATCTACGAATAGTCTAATTATGTATTTGGCGTTCTCTCATCTCATTCCAAGCTTCCACTATGGTTTTTTTTTCTGGATTATATTCTATCAGCATTAAATAGAACAGCCCCGGGCCGCAGCCACTAGTGGGCTGTGAGCTGTTTGGAACTAAGCCGCAAAAGCAAATGGAGCTGCGTATGTTTTTGCCAGTTGCTTATGCGGAACCACCCCTCTATACCCCCCCCCCCCCCGCCAGTCCACAAAGCCAGAAAGGTTGGAGAACTCTGATATAGAATTTTTCCAGAAATCACTCTAGTTTTGCTGAAGCCTGACATTCAGTAGTCATCAGATTAGGAATTACTATCTTCATCTGTACCCACAATGAGATATATTAAATAATACTTTAACATTTTTTTTTAACTTTTCATTTAGGTTTGCCATAGCAAAAGTGGGGAAGTTAATTCTGCAAAAGTAGCAAATCTGGTAAAAGCTTATGTGGACAAATACAAACATTCGCGAAAGAAAAATCCAGATGAAACTGTTTCTGTGGAAAGAAAATAAATCCAGAATGAAAAAAAATGCCATCACGATGACTGCAAAGTGCAATTTTGACTTGGACTTTTAATTAGAAATAGTGGCTGAAATCTGATTTTGATAAGATTATTTTTCAATATAGTGTATAATGTTTTCTTATAAATAAATATAGATTAATGCTTAAACTTTATCCTTTTGCAAACAGCTATGTAAAAAGAAAATAAAAGGAATAAAAGACACCACCCACCATTCCCAATTAGTTTGTTGAATGCCACGTACAGTATTTTTGATTCACACAATCTGTCAGAATTTTGGGCAGGATAATAAAATAATGAGTCAGAGAAAAGACTGGAGTAGATTTTTCTTTGATTTTCTTGCCACTCTTTTAAACCATAGTAAATGATTTTAAAATGTCTCACTTCATAGGCTCAGTGTATGTGTGTGTTGTCTTTTCATTTCTCCTCTTGAGGATTTGCTAGTGTTAAATCCCAATATAGTTCTGAAAGGCATAGTGTAGATTTTCATCTAGCACTTCACCTTTGAAGAACCAACCTGTTAATATATTACACAAAAGTATTTTGCATTACATTTAACTTTGGGTTATTCCTTGCCTAATTTAATTTGTGTTTAATATGTTTCAATACAGCATACTTCTAATCTTCCAACCATTTGAAATGTCTGAGGGAATATAAGAGGTGGATTGTGTAAGCAACAATCTTAGTCAAGTTACTATGACAAAGTATTGACATTGATTTTAAAGCAAGCAGTTGTCTGAGGCCTGTGAAATAAAAGAATATTCTAGCAAGGATTATACTATGATGAAGGCAGCATGCCAAATTCATAACACCATGTCATTATGACCTTGTACTAGTTTATTACATGAAGTCCAAGCGGAGAATGTTATACTGATCTTAAATGTATATGTAGCGGGTGGTGAGGAAGGTTGCTACCTAAAAGTAATTCATTAAGCATATTGCAGCTATATTTCAGTCTCTTGCTATCAGCTGTTTTTTTTTTTCATAAATGAAGAGCTAAGGAAATAACAGGCATTGATTATTCCTTGCAACAAAATGTAACCCTCATGCAGTAATTGCCTTGCATTTCATTGCAGGTGTTGTACTTGGAATCTAGGTCAATTAAAGGTGTAACTGGGAGAGGCAAACTAATTAAACATGTCTTCTTGAGAGCACTTGTATTTCTGGCAGGCTCCACAGAAAGGCCCAAGACAAAGGGATCACCCAGGAAGTTAAAGCAGACCACTATCACAGTTATTAATTCACATTCTATTTCAGACTCAATATAGACTCTTTGTCTATATTGTTTGTATAACTAAAGATAATATTTATCTTATAGAGTCTTTAGTGTGGATATTGTTTTTATTTACAGTCAAGTGCTATGCTTAGTCTTCTGAAGAGAGTTTTTGTTAGAATAGCATATATGCTAATTTTCAATATAAACTGGCTGCTGACACTTTAAGTTTGTAGAATGCAATTTTGTTTAAACTCATAATTTGCATTTTATAATTAAGTGTATTTCTCAACCATTTAAGATGGGATGGGAATTCATAAGTATACTATGTGTTGGTTTGGTGCATCTGTGTTATTTTCTCAGTGTTTCTAAATTTAGGTCTATTTTAGAAGTTCATGAAATTTCTCTGATTTACATGCTCATTATTAATTTTTCTTTTCTCTTTGCTGAGTATATCTCTTTTGTCTGCATAAGATTTCATATTCACAAATCAGACTTTAAAAATCTATGTTTGACCATGGAGTTAGTTTACTTCTTGATGCAAAACTAATTTAGGGACCCAGTACAGTGCTGAAAAGGAGAAAGTCGATTCCTGTTGAGATTGAGACAATCTTCATAATTATTATTGGTGAGATGATGGATTAGGAAGTTTGCTTAATATCTTAGTCCCATATCTCTCCAGTATAGTAGCAGCAGATTGCAAACTTTCACTGCATTTCCAAACTGAATGAAAGGGGATATTGACTAGCACGCTATTGGCCTACTTCCTTAAGTATTTTTAAAAGACATTCCCTAATATGCAGCCTTTTAAATGATGGTTCAGGCACACATCACTGAACTGAAAGATATTTGTTTGCTTTATGTGACAAGCACTTCAACTAACAGTGAATGGAGGTACTGTGTAATTGTTAGTTCAAGTCACATCTGTTTCTGAATTAAACACTGCAAGCATAAGTCGGCATGCTTTGCTTGAAGTATTTCTGGGGCTGGTCACTTAGGGTAGAGTGATTGCATCCAACATTTTTTCCTTTTCTGGTCACTTTGTCAGTACTGAAATGCTGAATCTTGCTGGACCCCTTTATGAAGTATGTATATGATTAAATTTGGCCAATCTATACTATTTTTTAATTAAAACAACAACACGAGCCTTATCACAAATATATGTGGAAAGCTTGTAACCAAGTTTAGGAACATTTCTTCATTATAAGATTGCATTCTTACCAACAAAGATTAATTCATTAGGGCATCTGGAATTGACAGGATTAGTCAGAATAGCCAAGTTATTTTTGTATTCCTGTGTTTATTGACTGAAATATTTATTTCTTAGTAGTACATTGCAAGAATTTCAGTAATAACATCCAACTGCTTTAAATTGCTATGAAAAAATGATAATTGATATTTCTTGAAATGGTGCACTGAGCACTCATTCCAGTCTTTTGGTGTGCATGTGGCTTAAATGTGTTATCATTTTAAATATAGGAAAATTAAAATCAGGATCACAGTGGCTAATATCCAGACTCTGGTGTCTGTAGCATAGGGCTGGAATAAAATATACTGAAAACAATATTCTAAAGAGTTTTATGTAGTTCAGAATATTTTCTAATAAATTCTTTTGACTAAGCTGGAATGAGTCTGCCTCTTCTTAAATTGTGCTAATTTAGAAAATTCTGTTATGTGCACACCACTTCACATTCAACGACTGGGTGGTTTGCTATAATTACTACATCCCATCCACAATGTGTACCCTAGGTATTGTCCCATCTCTGTTCAATACCTTGGAAACTCTTTTTCTAAGAAACAAGCATGGAAACATAATGTCAGGTCCAAATGGTGTCCTGTCATTGTGTTGGAGGGGGGTGGCTTGCTGGCATTTTTTTCATATCTTTGCTTTTCCTGTAACTTCTTGGGAATTAGGGAAGGGGATTGTCTTTGGAGACGGAGCAGACTCCCAGCCGGTTCCAGCCTGGTTTCAAGGCCATCATGCCCTGAGAGTGAACCATTATCTGCCTAGCACCTCGGAGTTCTCAAAACAACCTTGCGGCATCACACTGGCTGCCAGTGAACTTGTCAGGAGGGTTGGGTTTGGGAATGAAATAATTGCTTTGTACCTTGTGTGGGCTTTTTTAGATTTTGCCTGATTTTACTACAACCACACTCAATAAAATTTATTTTGATTCAACTCAATGGAGCCAAGAGTTTTGCTTTTCTGAGGGACCAGCTGGGACAGGTCCTTACATTAGGTGAAATCTGCAAAGTTGGTCAACCTGGAGGCATATTGGCCTACCATGGGGACCGTGCACGCAATGTCAGCCAAAGACAATGACTAGGAGGAAGCTGACTGCTGAGGGGAAGCATTGACCAGGCCTCCCCTTTGGCTGGACCTCTCTGAGTGAATGGATGAGGTTGGGAACCTGAGAGATTCATCAATATCCAGGTGGTCCATTGGAATCAGAAAGAAGAAAGACTGGAAAGGAAGAAACAGAGGAGTGACTCTGACAACAAGCTGACAACAAGAAAGGCAACCGGAGCTGGAACAGCTTGAGGATGAGGACAAGGAAGGCAGAGAATCTGGTTATGCTGACTTACTGATGAAGCAAGCCATACGGTTCATGATGCATGCCTTCCAAACCCTGAAGGCACGTGAGTCATATGCTACGATTGCCACCAGTGAGGCCCAACAGACCCAATAGGAGGAAGATGGGGGACGAGTGTCATGGTGGGGGCTGCAGTGAGGGACCACATCCAAACTCTGTGCCAGGGCTGCAGGGTGGTGGCAGAATACACTGAGGAATTCTGTGACCTGGCATGCCGACTCAACGACTGGCTGGAGGACATCATCATCAGCTGTTTCAAACATGAACTGAACAACGACCCGTAAAATGCCTGCTTTTCAAGAGGACTCCATACCATTCTCCACGATTGGTATGTTCTGGTCAAAGAGGTGGAAATTGACCAAACATTAAATAAGTATTACACAGATTTCATGGAAGAAATTCTCCCCGTAGAAGAGAGAGATGGCAAAGCCACACAATCTGCAGACACATTCCATTGCCTGCTTCAAGTGTGGCCAGGAGGGGCTGAGCTGCAAAACTGTATGCCAAACTTTCCAAGTGTGAGTTGCATCAGACCAAAATAGACTATTTGGGTTATCGCATCTCACATGAGGGAATTGAGATGGACCCAAAAAAAGTTGAAGCAGTGCTGGACTGGGCTCCACCCCAACCAGAAAGCAACTGCAAAGCTTTCTGGGTTTTGCCAACTTTTACCAGAAATTCATTCCATCATTTGCGCAGGTCACACTCCCCAGTAAAAAGCAATTAAAAACAAAAGGGGGAGGAGAAGCCTAAACCTAGCCAGCCCCTTAAATGCACTTTAGAATGCCAGACAGCTTTTGAGAAGCTCAAAGGGTTGTTTCCAGCTGAGCCGGTCCTGAAATATCCTGACCCAAATACCCTTTTTGTTATTCAGGCTGACACTAGTGATGTTGCCATGGGGGCTGTGTTGTTACAGACAAATGACAGTGGCCAGCTGCAACTCTATGCTTATACTTCCAGAAAACTATCAGGGACTGAGCAAAGGTGAGCAATGTGGGAGAAGGAAGCTTACGCAGTGTGTTGGGCATCCTAACCTGGAGGCATTTCCTTGAAGGGAGCAAAGTGCCATTTGAAGTGTGGACTGACCACAAGAACCTAGAGACATTAAAAATCCCATGGAGGCTATCTCCTAAGCAGGTGCGATGGGGACAATACTTTAACCGCTTTAACTTTGCATTATGCTACCTCCCAGGAGGCAAGAACTTCTTGGCCAATGCTTTAACTCGAATGCCTCAATATAATTGCTCTAAAGCAGAAGTAGTCAAACCTCTGCTCCCACCCAGTCAACTGGTTGCCCAAGTCACCACCTGAGAGCAAGCAAAAGAGAGACCACAAATCAACAACAAGGTGACAGCCACACTTAAAGCCACTCTGAAAGACAACAAATTATTTCCAAACTATGGCAACATTTGCTCATTCCGGATGGACTAGCCTGGGTGCGGCCTAAGATATATATGTCTGAGAACCAGAGGTTAATGGTCTTGGGGAAGAGCCACAACTCCAAGGTTGCTGGACATTTTGGTTTTGTAAAAACTTTGCATTTGATCAAAAGGCAGTTTTGGTGGCTGTCTCTGAAAAAGACATTGAAAGCAATGTAGCAACCTCCTTATCTGTGCCTCAGCCAAGTGATGGCAAGGGAAGACCCCAGGACAGGGGTGAAATGCTTCCGGTTCAGACCAGATCACCCAATCTGGTTGTGATGGCGGCAGGTGGTTCAGAGAACTGGTAGCAAAAATCCCTGCGCCCCCCCCCCACCATGCCCAGCTGAGCCGCACGATCATCAATTTTTTTTACTTTTAAAAGCATTTTTTTCTATAACATCTTCTGCCGAAAAAATGCTTTTAAAAATAAAAAAACAAAGCCTCTGATGATCGCGCGGCTCAGCTGGGATCATCAGAGGCTTTTCAAAGCATTTTTTTCTGCAACCTCTTTGGCCAAAGAGGTGATAAAAAAATTCTTTGAAGAGCTTCTGATGATCCTAGCTGTGTTGCCTGATCAGCAGAGAGGCTTTTCAAAGCATTTTTTTCTGCAAGCTCTTCGGCCAAAGAGGTGGTAAAAAAAATGCTTTGAAAAGCCTCTGATGTTCCCAGCTGAGTTGCCTGATCATCAGAGAAGCTTTTAAAAGCATTTTTAAAAAGCCTCTCTGACAATCCCAGCTGAGTTGCCTGATCGGCAGAGCCTTTTCAAAGCATTTTTTTGTAACCTCTTCAGCCGAAGAGGTTGTAGAAAAAATGCTTTGAAAAGGTTTTTTTTTAAAGTTGGTCACGCCCACCCAGTCACATTACCCCTCCATCAAGCCACGCCCACAGAACCAGTAGTAACAAATTTTACATTTCACCCCAGGACTCCTCCAATTTGTGGCGGAGTCTTCAGCACCCTGGAGAGAAATCTCCATGAATTTTACTGTGGAACTTCCAGAAAGCTCAGGAAATACGGGTGATAACTGATTTATTTTCTAAGCAGGTACATTTTGTCCCCTGTCAAAAGAGGGGACAAAATGCACCTGCTTAGCATGGGGTTTGGCCAACCTATTTCTGCACCACGTCTACAGGCTACACGGAGCATCTAATATATTGTTTCAGACAGAGGGGTCCAATTCACCTCTAAGTTTTGGAGGGCTTTTCTTAACCTGCTTGGTACTGACTTGGAACGTAGCTCAAGTCACCACTCCCAAACTGTGGGTGTGAACATATGAATTCAGTATTGGAACAGTATCTTAGGTGTTATATCAATTAGCAGCAACATAACTAGACTGATTAGTTGCCTTTTGCAGAAGTAGCGTATAATAATTCTGTGCACTGTAGCACGGGGTTCACTCCTTTTAGAGTGGCTACAGGACAATGCCTGAACTACTCCTTAAGGATCCACCGATATCGTAGTTGAAAGACTGGTTACAGGACAAGACTTTAATCCAATGCCTGAACTACTCCTTAAGGATCCACCGATATCGTAGCTGAAAGAGTGGGATACTCTTCCTGGGCCCCAGAAAGTTCAAAACCAGAGAGGGCATAAAACCAAGGCATGCTCAGCATCTCGGCCCTTTTCTGTTCAGGAACTCAAACCATGTGATCCTGTCCACTATTAAACTATCTTTCCAAGCAGTCTCCATGTTTCCAGTGCCTTTTTCCCCACTTGGAGCTGAACCCAGAAGGATATTTCTTCTAACAGTAGTATTCTGTCTCACCCTTATTTTTGAGTTCTAGTGTCAGCCTGTTCATTTTTGCGGAGACCAAGATTTTCTTTATTATTTCCTCTTCCGGGGGTGGGGTGGGGGGGTTGTCCTTCATGTTCCCAGTATTGCGCATAAATCAACCTTGCTGCTGTTATGACAGGCAGCATTAAGTATATCAATTCTTTGCCATATTTATCTTCTGTTTTTCCTAGTAGAAATAATTCTGGTATCTCTTCCAACCATGTCTTTATCTGATGCCAAAATTCCCTAGCTTTTGTACATAACCACCACATGTGATAAAAAAAATCCTAACACTGAGTTACATTTCCAACACTGCAGTGATAAATTCCTGTTCATTTTTGCTAACCTTGTAGGCAGAAGGTGCGACCTGTAAAACATTTTATACAGATTTTCTTTGTATGCGGTGGCTAATGTTAGTTTCCTGTTTCTCTCCCGTAAATCTTGCCATTTGTCCAGATCAATATTATACCCAAAATTTTGGGCCCACATTACCATGCTTTCCTTCACTTGTTCTTATGCCATTTTATATTCCAATAAGTATTGATACGTTTTCTTTATCGCCTTGTCCTAATAAAATTTTATCTAGCGCCATTAATTCTTTCTTAATACCCCATTCCTTTCTATCTTTCATATGGCGTGATTTAATCTGTAAATATGCCCACCATTCCAATTCTACCCCTTAATCTTGTAGTTCTTTTCTAGATTTTAATTCCCCCCCTTTGTTTAAGATATCCTTATATGTGACTACTTTCTCCAAATTCATGAAGTTTGGATGCACCAACACCTCTAGTGTAGAGAGCCAAGCTGGGATTTCCATGTAGTTCTGTTGCTTA